CATGGTTTCAAAAAAAACTTAACAATCTTCACAACCCCGTAATGCTCACTAGTGCCTAATTTCCAGAGATAATTCTCATTTATTGTGAGAAGCCATCACCAGCGGTGTTTGAATTGGTTTCCCGCTGAGGATTATGGAAGACGGTTGGGCAACGTCGTACATTGATCAAAGTTACACATGTAAACCATTGGATATCAGCTCAGTGGTCAAAAGGTTAAGTGCTTGCAGCATGATCTAAGGGTCCAAAGTTTGGCTCCTGATAAAACTGTTAATGCACACTACTCATCATCATCATCAACAGCAACGTAGAACTTCGCACGTAAGTACAGCAGTTCATGTTGCCATAAAAAATGAGCACAGAGATATAATTGTCAATTCAAATCCCATAGTACTAGACAATACTGCTGAAGAGCGTTATATGAGGACTACGCAGTTTTCTAATACTATCAGGTTCTTAGTGGTTACATAAGGTAAGTAAGTGATGCAAACTATGAAAGTCAAGATTACATATTTAGGGGATCTGTATCCCCAGAATTCTTTAACTAACTGACTTTATTTTGAGCTCTCCTTTCCAGTTGTCCCCAAGTGCTACTCATTCTCCACTTCCCGACAAAATGCGATCTTTGCTCTTTCTCTACCTCTTCTGTCTTGAAGATTCCAGATAGAGGCTTGTCTTGTGATCCAATCTAGTGATTTCCTCAATGTGTTGTACCAACGCCGTGTTTTTTCCTAATTCTTTCTTCAATATGAACCTCGTTTGTTCTCTGCCACAGTAAATTAGTGCTGATGGAATCCGGTAATAAAATTTGAAACATCTTGTGTGAACAGCCGTGTCTAAATACCTTTATCATTTGGATGATTTTCGTAGTTCTCCAAGTTTCAGCTATACACAAAATAACCGTCTTCACGCTTGTACTGAAAATTCTGATGTTAGCTTTGATTGACAGTTCTTTTCAGTCGCAGATGTTCATCAGTTGTAGCGACATTGCTTTTGCTTTACAAATTCGTGTCCTCATATCTGTATCAGATCTATCTTGTTTATTAATTATGCTGCCGAGGTATGTAAAAATCTCCACATGCCAGGTGTGATTTTGTTGGTGCTTGCTGTATTAGATCGGAGAGTCTTGCTTTCAATATTAATATAATAAGGCCTACTGCTGCTACACCGGCCGTCTTCACATGCGTTTGCTGTTGTTTGTGAGATGGAAAAGCTAGATCATCTGCGAAGTCCATATCGTCCAGTTGCCCACTCTATTCCATGCTTCCCATCAGATGGTGAATTCTTCATAATCCAGTCAATCACCAGGAGAAAGGGTGAGAGTAAGTAACCTTGCCTGAAACCGGTCTTCACTTTAAATGAGTCTGTGAGCCATCACAAAAGTCACAAGTGAAACAAAAACTGAACTCATGAATACGATAGTACATAAAATGTTTTATACGCTAGAGGTAACATACATGTAGAAGAATTAAGGTAGGCAAATAGAAAAATTAGATAACTTTAATACAATTAGCAGTGACACCTACTAATAAAAGAAAAATTCACAAGTGAATCAAGTCACTAACAAGTATTTAGTAGTAAGTGTAATTAACAGCGGCTGGAGGCCCTCCAGCTTCAGGAGAGCTGCTGTGATACTCCGGCTATGAAGAAGAAAGTGCCTCACATAAAGAGTTGCACTGATGCGATCCAAACAAGTACAAAAAGCACGAATAGGATGGGAATCTCATGGACCTAGGATCATTAAAGCATCCTTCAAAAACAAGACATTACAATGAACGTCATCCAATGCTATGCACCTACCAACGACTGCAATGACGACGTTAAAGATCAATCGTCGATAGATGCCAATCAAAGGACTTGATTGATGGGAGACCTAAACGCCGAGGATGGAATCGCAGACACTGGAAATGAAGACATCATGAGACCATGTGCACTGGGAGAATGGTATGAAAATGGTGAGAGATTCGCAAACGTATGTGCCTCCAACAAACTGGTCACAAATGATACCGTATTTCCATATAAACGCATACACAAAGCCAGATGGATTTCACCGGATAACACAGGACAAAGAACAAAATCGACCACATCTGCATCAATAAAAAGTTCAGAAGGACCATGGAGGCCGTGAAAACCAAGAGAGGAGCTGATATAGCCTCAGATCATCACTTTGTAGCGGCGAAAACGAAGCGGAAACTAAGAAACACTGGACAACGGGGGAAAACAACATTACAAAAGTTTAGTACGGCCTTTCTTCGGAATACTGACAAACTCAATGAATTCAAGATAGCCCTGAGCGATAGGTGTTCCAGGCCTACTCGATGGAGAACTGGAGAGCGGTCAATCAACCAATCACTACTACAGCATATCATGAGGTTCTCGGCCACAAGAAGCACCATCAGAAGGAATGGATCACAGTTGACACACTGGGTAGGATTCAAGAAAGGAGGAACAAGGCTGCAATCAATACCAGCCGAACAAGAGCAGAGAAAGCCAAGGCACAAACTGAATACACAAAAGTAAACATAAGAGTGAACAAGAGCATCAGGGCCGACAAATGTAAATATGCGGAAAATGCTGCAGGAGAAGGGAACATGAGACAATCGTACAACACAACAAAGAGGCTCGCTGGAAACTATTGTAAACCAGAACGACCAGAGAAAAGCAGGGAAGGCAAAGGAATCAGCAACATCGAAGAACATTAAAACAGGTGGTTAGAGCACTTTAAGGATTTTTCGAATCGACCAGCTCCACTGAACTCACGCAACACCAAAGCAGCAGCCTCGAGCTTCCCAATCAATGTTGGCCCACCAACAACTGAAAAGATCAGCATGGACGTCAGAAAAATCAAGAGCGGCAAAGCAGCGGGACTAGACAACATCCCAGCAGAGACACTGAAAACTGACATATCAGTAACTGCAAAGATACACCATATTCTCTTCAACAAGATTTGGGATGAAGAACAAGTACAAAAAAAACTGGAAAGAAGGATACCTCATCAAAACACCAAAGAAAGGCGATCTCAGCAAGTGTGAGAACTACATAGGCTTCACTATTCTCTGAATAACAGGTAGAGTCTTCAACAGAGCGTTGTTAAACAGAATGAAAAACTTCGTAGACGCCCAACTTCGAGATCAACAGGCTGGACCTCCTTTCTGATTAATCGTACTAAATATTTTCGATCTGTTCCTCCGTTCGATTTAGGCTTGAATCAATTCAGTTTGTTTATTTATTCTCCGAAGTGACTTACGCAGAGTCACGAAGCATGAGAAGATTCCGATTTGCCTCCTTCATTGGGATATCGCATACGTTTTTATTATTACGAAATTTAACGGTTCAAAACCAAGTCTCTCAATCATCGAACTATAAGTTTTGCGACGTTAGAGATCAATGTGTAGGTTAAGGTTAATTATGAAGGATTACAATTTCTGCATTATTGTAGGATGAATTTTTGCATGCTTCCTTATAACAAAATGTTTAAAATATACAATAAACCGTCAATAGTCTTATAGAACTTAGGCATTTCGTACGAATGGATTTACGAACTCAGCAAAAAATTTATTCTAAAATCATAGAAGTCATCATTATTCAACCGAAAGACCAAGTCAAACTTATAAATAAATATTTTGGTGCGTCAAATTAGCAGTGATGATGTAATCAATAGAGAATTCGAAACTGCTTGTTTCTCTAGATATTGTGTAAAAGGAATCTAGACACGCTATTGTGTTGTGCACAAGTGTACTTGACGTATTCGAAACTCAACAAGTGGGACAATATCATGTAACTGAAGTTCAAGTGTCATGATAAATTAAATAAATGTAAATTTAAACTGAACTTCGTAGTAATTAAATAAATTCATGTCAATAATTAGCAACAATCACTGGTTTGTGAAACCAGACTGGTGATAATATCCAAGTCCCACTATAATCGCAGCTTATTATCCCTACACTTGCATTCTGTTTCAAATGTAAATTACACCACAGTGATTGCTAAACATATTAAACATAAATATAGGGATGGAAAAGCTGATTTGTGAACAAACGGTGTTGGTTAGTGGAGTCTGCTAACAATATAACAATAACAACCGAGATTAAAATCCAAACTTGGAAAAACCCAAGAACGTTTTTACCAAGTTTAATTACTGACATGTCAAGGTGACTTATTTTGAGACAAAGGAATCGAATGAATGTCAACACCTTTTTAGAGGTGTTTAGATTAACTAAGGCTTAGAAGCAAGAAAGTGAGAAAGAATTCTTAGATAAGATATAAAATTATCATCAACAAAACGTGTAATAGGCTAAGTAGTTTCCACATATACTCACAATTTCTACACTTAATATAAATACTTTAATGAAAGTCCAATACGTCTACGCTGTCACAGAACCGTAACAGACAATGAGGTAGGTGGGAGAAATAAACAATTGAACTAAGAAACAGGAAAAATAATTTCTTCATTTTGATATCATTGCTTTATTATCAAGTGACAATGACTACAATACAAATAAAGAAATATGAAATATCTTTCTTCTGAGTATTCCCACCAACAATTAGGGTGGGGATTTTAAAGTAAGTAGCATCACGAAGCTAGTGAATACAGGAATAATAATGATAAACGAAGTACGATGGACGCATTTAATAGTCAGTGTGAAGTTAGTTGGGTGAAATAATGCAACGATTTTGGCGAAGAACAAAAATCTTAATAGAAAAGTTGAATTTCAGAGGAAACATGAAAAGAGTATCAAACAAATCGACACAGGACTCTTTGAGTTCCCCACACAAACACATAAAAAACATATGCTTCACAGTGGTAAGAAACAGAAAAAAGAATGATAAAACTATACAGCTTTTCGCTGAGATACATTTGGAAAACAATTTACTGATGCAAAGAGATATATGTATATAAAGCTGAATTGTTTCTCAAGTGTTTTTGTGAAAATAGACAAATGTAATGATTATAATTCACAGTTTCATATTTATTTTTAAAAAATCGAAAAAGCAATGAAGACTAGGAAGTAGAAGAGCTGGAACCGTTATTGTTTCCTGTTAAATTTGGAGCTGGATCTTCATATCGTGAAGTATCATGTCCAGCTAAATCCTTTCGACAAACTGGACAAGTTCCATGCTAAATAAATTGGAAAAGTACGACTTTTTGTTATATTTTAACATATATATATATATATATATATATATATATATAATTAAGTATATATATATTAATTGAAACCACTTATTGTTGTTTAGGACTACAATTGATCAGACTCTCTTTTGGTATGTGTAGCCTGCGCTGACTGAGATTAAAGTTACAAGGATTTTAAGCAGAGGTGGATGGTAGTCAGTCAGTCAGTCAGATGCGAGGTAGAACTTCGCACGTAAGTACATCAGTTCATGTTGCCATACCAATAGTAGCAGAGGTAGTAAAGGTATTGAAAGTAATCGGAGAGATTAGGATTAGAAGATATTATTCAAGAAGTATGATTCAGTAAGATAACTTTAGAAAGACAAAACTAGAGGTGTTGGAGAATCCAGAAGATTAGGATTTGAGAGAACACAAAGAACAAATGCACCGGCGCCTTTGCAAACGGTTTTGAGCCATGTCATTCAGGGTCTCTAACCATCGATTACTATCATCTCATGGACTCCAACCAGGTAGTTGACAACTACCGACATGACTCAGTCCACTTGTCAATCACTTCATGGACTGCTGCCATGTTTTGGTCTGGCCGCCCCTAACTTTCTTCCAACCTACTCCTATATTACAAAACAAAGCTCGTCGAGGCAGTCGGTGGTTAGACATTGTTGTAACGGTTGCTTAAGATATTTCCCGGCCTAATCTTATTGCTTAGTATTCTTGACACAAAACACTGGACAAGTAACTCAAATCAGAACACAGTTGAACAGGAAGGATTGTATTCCAAAATAGCAAGGAAAAGAAGCCGGAGGTGATGGCGAAAGCCAAGGCAAAGATAAGTACAATGCTAGTCTATTTATAGCCTTTACGTGAGAAAACTTCTGGAAGAAAATTCACGTGATCGACTGGACTGGATTCAACCAATCAGCATGCAGCTAATAATACGAGAATTTTCTATCCTGTTCTCCAAGCTTCGATCAGGCGCTGATTGGATAGAAATTTAGCCAATCAGCGCGCAGCAACGTAGTCGTGCTTTAATTTCATCCATGTCCCACTAACAGACATACGCAGCACATGTCCCAACCACCTAAACTGATGAAGTTTCATTATTTCATCTATTGATCTGCCATCCTTACCTAGTACTCGTTTGCTAACGACATCATTGCTTACTCTGTTGTCCCACGATACACGAACAATGCTTCAGAGAAATCTATGACCGAAAACCAGTAACCTACGAATATCTTCTACTCTCACTGGCCATGTTTCACTGTCATAAAGGACGGAGCAAACTACTGAGCAGTACACTCGTCCTTTAGTCAGCAAACGGGTATCTCGTCTACGCCATAAGTGACGCAAGTTGGCAAAAGCCGATACGACCCAATCCTGAGGTGACATTTTGCATTTCGACGGGGAGAACCGCGTCCCGAACATGTTTCCAGTGTTGCTCAGGGTAGTTACAAGACTTTGCATTTTGTCAGCGTCTTCACCGAATAGAACTATGTCATCGGTATATTCTAAGTCAACAGGCACATATCCTGGTAAAGGTTCAACTCTTGAAAAGTCAGATGATGCAAGTGTTGTACCTAAACGCACTTCAATGACAAAGTTAAACAAGAATGGAGAAAGTGGACATCCCCGACGAACACCACTTGAAGCAATCAATTCTGATGACAGTTCGCCATAAGCTCTCATTCGACCAGTCGTGTTCGAGTAGAGCCTGTATAAGGTTAATGTACTTCTTTGGTACACCTTTCAATCACAGAAATTGCCACAGAACCTCACAATCGACAAAGTCGCTTTAGATTTCTTCACCGTCTTTCTAGTTGTTCCAAAAATACATTCTTAGCTATGCTATGATTAAGTAGAACCCTAAGAGATTTCCTTGCAGTGTCTTTCCAACGTCCAGTAAGCTGAAAACAAATACGCGCTCGCACTAGAGCATGATCTGAATCTAAACATGTGCCCCAGAACGAGTGGCATTCCTCTATCGAACCCCTCCATCGGGGGCTGACAGCGATGCCATCTAGTTGGGTCAAGCGCTAGGATGACTTTCGGAGTTGCCGCGTCAAAAAATATTTTTCCTTGCGCTTAAAGTTAATATTAGCTAGAAATAGATTATCTGAGCATAGCCATTATCTGATCTTTGAGCCACGACACCATGACATCCACCCAGGTGTGGTTCATTCTAGCTTGGTCTACCTACTTGAGCATTGAAGTTACCAGCCATTATTACTTTATCAGAGCGCCTAACCTTTTCGCGGTGATCTGAAGGCTTTCTGTAAAACTCATCTTTTACTGCGTCCGACTGCAGTCAGTTGGAGCGTTGGTAGAAGCGAAAAGAGGAAGCGGCGAGTTGCTGTTTAACCGTTTTCAAAGCGTTAATTATGTCTGTCAATCGTACATGTCATTTTGGCTAGTTTTTGAAATTTTTTTATCACTATGTAGTTTGATTATTATTTTTTACAAATACGTTCATAAAACCCATCTCTATACCTTAATCTGGTGTTACAATCAATATTCTGTCGTGTGGTCGAGGTTTTCCTTAAAGCCTCTTTATTAAGATACATCTTGTCTGATGACTTTTGTTTAAGTCTTCATAACAACAGTCGATTAAAATGGACTTAAATCTTCCAATGCCATCAATTGACGTAGGTGCTAGTCTATCCGTCTATGAGTTTCCGAACTGCATTTCTATTTTTGTCTTACCCTTTCCTGTACATAAAAAACTTGGGATCTAAAGATAACGTTTCTAATTTTGTCATATTAAGATGAACACTCGAAAACTAAAGTTTGTACTAGTAACTAGTTTATATTTTTTTATAACCTTTTCCAACATCAGTTCGATGTGTGATGCCATATCCTAAGATTTAGCCTAACAGTTAGATGTTAATTGACTGAAGACCTACAAGTTAATTTCCTTTTAGTATTGACCATATTTCTGTTAGTATTTTGTGCATAAATATATTATTTTATTATCTAACTGGTTAGTCGTTTTGTCCTTGATTCTAATGATTTGAGCTATTGTGATCAGTGATCACAGAGTTTATGTATCATTAACCACTCCTATTCATCAATTTTAATAAATGAAAATTTTGTCTCATCAAATCATCAAAACACTTGCCCATAACATGTGTCGTTTCTTTTCTGCTATCCACAACCTTTACATAACTTAGCTCAAAAAAACTTCTGTGACTGTAAGTACAAGCAAAGAGAAACAAATTTGATTGTTAAACAGTTAAATGTATTCCATGAGTTCATTGTATCTCTGGGAAATAATCGCAAGGTTTGAGATGACTAGTTGTTCTACAATTACCAACGAATAGTCATTATTTTTTGGGAAAAAACTCAAACACTTAATTTTGGTTGAATATTTTGTAATTTAGTAAGTCTTAATTCCGTCAGTATCGACTGTTATTTTCCCGGTAAATAGGCTTTTGAAATTTTCACAACTGAGTGGGAAAGTTACCAACTAACTAAAATGCTTTTTTAATAATCAGACTACAGTTCAAAACAATACCTGAAATATAGGGGATATTTTCTAACTAGAATGGCCGAGATGTATCCACATCGAATACAATGGAATCGTCTTTATCGTTTTCATAAGACTTGCGACATCGATCTAAGTCGCCAAACCTCAAATTAATACAATCAGGGAATTAACATGAGATCAGGGAAGATAAAGTGGTTGAACACGGTATCAATCAAAGGGAGCTACGATAAAGTCCATAATTATGCTAACTACATTACGAAAAATACGCAAATGAAAGTAAGAGTCAGCAAACACATGTATAATCACACACCAGATCATGAGGCTATACTTGTTTCACAGCAAAGGTCTCGTTCTGCTGCTCAGTGTTTGTCGGATAGAAAGCAAAGTTCAAGCCAGGAACTGAAACCGGCTTTAAACTCGAGTAAACATACTGAAAATCAAGTAATTAGGTTTATCCTTTTACTGTTACAAGTGAAATACGTAACGAACACTAACCTGTTTTAACCATGTTGTAACACAAGTTTGGTGGTAAATGTGAGTACATGGAAGTTTGATAACTGATTCGGATTCTTTGAAATCGTCAAAGCATATAGAACAAATACCCAATTTTAATGCTTGTTCTTCAGTCAACACATTTATGGGTAAGTCTGCAATGGCTGCTTCAGGAGCAGGTGGTGGACCCACTTGTAATTCATTCATTAACACAGTGATAAACTGGTCAAACATAGCTAAAGAAAAATAAACAAGAATTACTAGTGAAGCATGTGGAGATATGTTTTCACTAATTGACTAGTAATTGCATTACTTCAAGAATCAAATAACAGATGTTTAATAAGGTTCTATTACTCTAAACATCACATGAAAATGTATAGTGATTAGCAACTACAATATTATACTAGGAATTTGTATTCACATTAATAAGGAATATACTAAAGAACACATCAATATTACAGAATAGCTAGAGGGTTCTTCCATCTATAGTTAACTTTAGTGACGTTAGGAACGTTAGTCATAATGAATGTTGCATCTGGCACAAATATGCGTTAAGTAACCATGCTACAGTAGGAAAACCAAATGAAATTTAAAAAATAAATAGCAAAATAATCGAAGTATTAGTAGCGGAAGTATTAATGTAAAATATGAAACATTAAGAATATAGTTCAAGAAATGATGGGGGAAAATTAGAACTCAAGGTATAAAGAGAGAGTGTGCTTGAATGACAAAAAGTAGTTCATTAACATGTGACCTAACGCATATAACCAGTTATTGAGGTTATCGCATGAACTCCAAACAAGTAGTCTGTATCTATTGATACTTATTTCAATGGTTAATGGTTTCGTGAGACAATGCTTCATCTTGGTTTGGTCGCCGCTAGTCTTAATCAAACTAGTTGTTTTTAAAAGTCAATACGAGACCAGTGAGAGAAACATGCGCGACTAGTACTGGATCATCTAAACTATTGCTAGTTAATAGTTTATGAAGTCCTCCAATGATACGCTGCATCTTGCAGACATTCGTCATTTCAGTACAAAAAATCAGAAATCGATTCATATCTCCAAAAAGTGTAATCCCGTTTGTAATTTTTCGATCAATTTCAACTGATTTTTACAAATCTACTGTTGCCGATGCAACAGTCTGAATTTTACTTCAGTTGCAATGCAAATTCTCGGTCGACAAACTTGACTTTAGTACAAATCTTTTCTTTACTGGCTAGAAGAGCTATTTACTGAGTGGGTAACACATTAATCTTTTTTAGGCAAGCTTTGTTGTCATGATCAGCTAAGTGCTTAACTTTTTCTGAAATGCATTCTTAACCTTTCCTTTCTCGAAGTATAGTGTCAGAAGTCTTTGTGCTGTAACTTGGCAAAACGTATTAAAATGTCCCCCCATTTGAGTATAATTACAATCTAAGCATGAGCCCTTACATGATGTGGGCAGCCGGGAAGTAATATCCGCCCTCATACTCATAAAAGCACACGAGACCAAATTGGTCAAAATCAAATCCTTTCCACACCTCTAAATAAATCTCTTATCTCCTCGACCAATCCTTCTTTCGATCGTTTATCAACTCACGACACTGAAGCAAACGGTTTGAGCTCACGAAACATTATTCATGGTCTCTTGAAACCCCGTACTAAATTACATATAGGAGCATTGAATGTTCGGACACTATGCCAAATAGGACAACAGGCTTCATTAGCTAGAACTCTGGAATCTCGGGCGATCGATGTATGTTGCGTATCCTGAACGCGCATACAAAATCCGAGTAAAATCATGAATTTGATCTCACCTAGTGCAAATAGGGACACAAGGTTTACGCTTCATGTTTCTGGTAGGCCTGATGCTGCTTTCCATGGCTTCGCCGGTGTAGATATAGTATTAAGTCCTAGACAGAACTAGCTCTTAGACTGGATCTCGATAGACAGTCGCTTATGCGCTGTCCGACTAAACGGGACGGTACGGGCTCAGAAGGATAGGGACATTCGCTGTTGCCTCTTCGTCGTATCTGCCTACGCTCCCACTGACTGACATTCAGATGACATGAAAGATAAGTTTTATAGAAACATCTCTAAACTTCTCCAAAATGTTAAGCGCTCAGATATTGTAATAATGGCTGGTGACTTCCATGCTCAAGTAGGTAGACTCAGTGGAAAGACATCTAGATGGATGTTATAAAGTCGCGGTTCATTGAACAGATAATGGCGACCATCGGCTGCAGCTATGCTCAGATAACCGCCTATTCCTAGCAAACACTAACTTTAAGCATAAGCAAAAACACCTTTTGACCTGGCGACCCCCGAAGCCGACCTAACTAGGTCACATCGCTATAAGCTCTATTAAAGACTGCCGCTCATTCTGGAGCATTTGTTTAGACTCAGATCATGCCCTAGTGCGAGCGCGTATTCGTTTGCGACTTACTGGACGCAAGAAAAATGTGGCAAGGAAACCTACTAGGGCTATACTTAATGATAATAAAGCTAAGAATATATTTCAGGAGCAATCAGAAAAACAGTTAGGCAGTCATGTAAGTGATTCCCATCCGGAGGTAGCTTGAGATATCAAAAAAGCTGTGATATCTGTTAGTAAGGTAAACCGTAAGGTTAGGGAGAAGCCGTGGATTTCAGTAGCATCCATCGAACTGAGAGACGCTCGTAAACTCATCCCACCTGACTCTGAACATGACGAAGAGCCAAATCAACTTAAGTGCAGGCTGATAAATAGCCTACGCAATGATCGCGAACAGTGGTGGGTAGCGACAGCAAGGGAGATGGAAAAGGTGACGGCGAGAGGCAACAGTAGATAACTGTTCAGACTCATCAAGGAAACCAGTATTAGGAACCCGAATGTGGGTGAAACTATCTCGAAAAACGATTGCTGTATCATTCATTCTCAATCCAGGAGATTGGATCGATGGACAAAACACCTTAGAGGTTAGTTCGACTGGCCTTCAGCCACACTTAGGTTACCCACGATCTCCAGTCATCCAGAATGGCAAATCGTGACGACCCAACCGAGCTATACTGGTTGGAACATATGTTCCTGAAGATTCTACCATACCATGGAGGTTGATTGAAGAATGATGAGAATAAAAGCAGCTACCCAAGGTCTCAGGGTGAAGTCGTAATGCTGACTGCAGAGAGGTGTGACAGCAGTAAGGTTTCCCTCGGACAACCAGCATCTGCAGCGATGCTGCCTTCTCACAAGGAAGGAAGGGTTAGAAAAGGTCGGCCCTAAAAATGTCACACCTCCCCTAACTCACGGATTTCCGTCTCCGGTGGTAAGGGTGCCCACTAAGGTCTTATAAGGGCGGAGCTAATACTCAAAAAACCTTTCAAAAAAAGGCGTGCGTGACCGGCCTCAAGCAATTGTCCCTTGGGCTCTAAGACCAACTCTAATCCACCTTCCTTTTCAGGTTCCTCAAGAAACAACCTTCCACGGTGTGGGCAGCCGGAAAGTGACAACCGCCCTCATACCAGTAACAGCATGCGAGACCAAATTGGTCAAAATAAAATCCTTTCTACACCCCTCCCCATTATCTCTCCCATCTCCACGACTAACTCTACTCACATTCCTTTATCTCCCCGCACCTCTGCTGCAAACGATTCGAGTCCTCGAAACGTTATTCCTGATCTCTTGAAGCCCCGTTCTAAACTACATGTTGGAGTATTTAATGTACGGACATTGTGTTAAATAGGGCAACAGGCTTCATTAGCTTAGACTTTAGAATCTCGCGCCATCGATGTATGCTACATCTCGGAAACGCGCATGCAGGATCCTAGTAAAGATATTAATCTGATTTCAAAATAAAGAAGCAGCTCGATTTACTCTTCGTGTATCTGGAAGTCCTGATGCTGCTTCGAGGTCTTGCTGGCGTAGATATAGCATTGAGTCGTAGAGCCGAACAATCTGTTAGACTGGATCCCAGTAGATAGTCGCTTGTGCGCTGTCCGACTAAACGGAAAAGGACTCGGAAGGATAGGGACAGTCGTCGTTGCCTCTTCGTCATATCAGCCTACGCCCCCACTGACTGCAGTTCAGACGATGTAAAAGATGAGTTTTACATAAAGATTTAGGACCTCCTCCAAAATATTAAGCGCTCTTATATAGTTATAATGACTGGTGACTTCCATGCTCAAGTAGGTAGACAAAGTGAAAATGAAAGACACCTGGGTGGATGTTATGGTGTCGCGGCTCAGAGAACAGACAATGGTGACCGTCTTCTGTAGTTGTGTTCAGATAACCGCCTATTCCTAGCAAACACTAACTTTAGGCATAAAGAAAAACATCTTTTAACCTGGCGACCCCGAAAGTCGTCTCAACGTTGGACCCAACTAGATCAGATCGCCATCAGCCATCGATGGAGAGGTCCGATAGAGGACTGTCGCTCGTTCTGGTGCACATATTTAGATTCAGATTATGCCCTAGTGCGTTTGCGACTTACTGGACGCAAGAAAAATATTGCGAGAAAACCTCTTAGGGCTTTACTTAATGATAATTAGGCTAAGAAAATATTTCAGGAGGAACTAGAAAAACAGTTAGGCGAGCATGCAAGTGATTCCCATCCGGAGGCAGCTTGGAATGATATCAAAAAGACTGTAGAAACAGCAGTGATATCTGCTAGCAAGGTAAACCATAAGGCTAGGATGAAGCTGTGGATTTCAGTCGCATCCACCGAACTGATGGATGCTCGAAAACGCATCCCACCTGACTCTGAACATGACGAAGAGCGAAGTCAGCTTAGGCGCAGACTGATAAAAAGCCTACGTAACGATTTAAGTCCTTCTAGTCTACATGAAGTTGAGAAAGCGTTGGGAAATCTAAAGGGAGTTAAAGCAGCAGGTCCTGATAGGCTTACCCCTGAGATATTTAAGGATGGTGGTCCAGTTTTAACAGTTAGACTGATCGAGATCTTACGTAGAATCTGGGAACTGGACGTGATCCCATCTGACTGGTCTCAGTCGCTAATTGTCCCAATCTACAAGAAAGGACAAAAGTCCTCTTGAGGCAATCACAGGGGAGTAAGTCTAATTAATATAGTTTCTAAATTGTTAGCCTCGATTATCCTTAGACGCCTTACAAGTGCTCGTGAAGAGCAGAGTAGAGAAAACCAGTCTGGTTTCAGACCTGGCTGTATAGACCACATCTTCACACATTTAGACGTCCGACAATAGTTGTGTTACTGGACCTAAAATGTCACCTCAGGATTGGGTTGCATCGGCACCTGAACTAGTGATAGGGGGTGAAGAAGTTGGGCGTATTTACCACCTCACTTATCTCGGGAGTCTCAACACTGCTGATGGCTTGGTAACTGAGGAAATTTCAGCACGCAAACAGAAGGCTCGAATGGTTTACGCCGACTTGCACCACTTATGGTGTAGGCGAGATATCCGTCTGCTTACAAAATAACGATTTTACTGCTCAGCAGTCCGCTCTGTCCTACCATATGGCTGTGAAACATGGCCAGTGAGAGTAGATATTCGTAGGTTGCTTGTTTTCGATCATAGGTGTCTAGGAGGCGTTGCTCGTGTATCATGGGACAACCGGATAAGCAATACTGTTGTTAGGAAAGGAGTACTAGGTAGGGATGGAAAATCAATTGAAGTATTGAGACTCCATCAGTTGAGGTGGTTGGGACACGTGTGTTAAGAATGCCTAACCACCGACTACCCCGTCGAGTCATATTTTGTAGTGTATGAGTAAGTTGAAAGAAAGCTAGGGGTGGCGAAACCAAAACTTCCCGGAAATCCATGATGTTACTGACAAGTGGACTGAGTTATGTCGGTAGGTGTCGACTATCTGGTTGGGGTCCGCGAGATGATAGTAATCGATGATTAGAGACCCTGGTTGATACGGATCAAAACCGTTTGGAATGGCGCAAGTGTATCTACTTCTTGTCTCCTCAATTCCTAATCCTCTTTATCATTTTTCCCCTAAAGTTATCCAACTGAATCATACTTTTCGAATCATATCTCCGAACCCTAATCTTCTCCATTACTACTAATACTTCTACTATTCTTAACACTATGGGGTTCGAACTGACATTTGCGTCCCTGTGCTGATGCGGTATGTCAACTTGAACTGATATACGTACGTACGAAGTTCTACGTTGCTGTTGTTGTTGATGATGATGACGCAGGCTGAAAACCGCCACACTGTATTGAAGAGTACATCTATTACCAAAATTAGACACATCCTAATCTTTACACTTATGTTTTCGTTTGAAAAACGCAGATGATCGATTATTTACAATAAGCCGTGAAATTTATTTACCTATTACACGTTTAATCCACCTGACATGTAAAGACCTTCTGTTTATGAAAACAGCACGAAAACTGCCTAGGAAGAGACTTGATGGTTTAATCTGTAAAATCAGTGTCAAACTTTTGTCGTTGTATGTGGTTTAGTAGTAGTTGGCCAAAACCATGAGAATATAACCCTAGTAGCAAAAACAGAACACGATAAATGATATGCCAACATTTTAAAACATAAAACCTACACTATGAATGCACATAAATCCAAAGGTTACTTAGTGGCCAGACACACTTACCTCGATTAAAAACAAAATTTTGCATATCTCCATCAGCTGGACCAAAGTTCGACAAAAATGGCAATCTAAATGGATGATCCATGCTTGATAACTGGATGCGAGTGGAGAAAGCATGACGACCATCTGGGACACGAGTATACACGCGTTCTCTGGTTGATCTGTGGTTCGAATTTCTTGTTGAGCGTCGTGATCTTCTTGCCAGATTCTCCCTTTCTAATGACTCGTCATCTGTCGAACTAAGGTCTTCACCAGGTGCTGCAAGATAGCGAACAAAATTATCGCTAAAAGAACCTTCCCATAGCTGACGAATAATCTGTAGTGCATCTAACTGTTATAAATAAAGATTAAATGATAGATATATACTTCTGTTTGATTCGAAGACAAACCACTTCTGAAAACAATAAGAAAGGAGTAGAAAATAAATTACCCTGGACTAACTGCTTCAATGAAACCTGAATGACAAGCGGAACATGTAAAATCCTGGACAATAATTAATTAATGTTATCATTTTATATTAACCTGCAAGTTTGGGACGACCTCAGTCTCACAACGGTGGCAGTAGTAACTCTCACTCGAACTGCCACTTGCCATTACTTAAGAGTAATTTATATTTTGCGCGAACGAATTCCTCCAGCCTTATCAAACCTACACATACATCAAGATGACCAATAGCTCGCCGTATCTATGATTGATATTCCAAGTTTTTACACATGATCCTGCAGTGACTTTATCGAGATTCAATTAATAAAAAATTATTCTCTGTAATTAATAGTTCGATTTGCTATGACTTGAGGATATCATTTACCAATCTTTATCTTCTGCTTGTTTTCTACACCTAGGTCCCTGCCTGTTGCTTCTAGGCTTAGAATCTTCGTACGAGTGGGCTTCTTGTATTCAATCCTCAACATCTGAACCACTCATCTCCAATTTCTAATATCTTTTTTACGAGCTATTATAAACCAATTGATTTCTTTGCGCTCGATTCTTCTTCTTCCGGTACGGTTCCAGGTGTTCGGTAATATCTAATGGATGGGGATCTAACCCCTCGGCCGAACTAATTCCAGTCATGCGAGAGATGTTTGTTTGTATGTCCCGTGATTTGAATGAATACGTTTGTTTAGGGCAGCAGAGTTTCTGGATACTAACAGCTATCACGTCAACAGGCCGAAGACCAGATAATTGCAATATGGAGAATAATAATGAGAATATTTTGATGCTAAAAGGAAGACGATTTCAGAACTATGTTAATAAATGGATAATCTAGCCTATTATGTGGTGGTGAGATGTCGGAATTTTTTAATCAGTAAGCTATTTCTGCAGGTTACAGACTCATACTATAGAAATTTTCCCAGCCACTTATGTTTCACTTCCTTCATCTTCAGCCTTTTACTGCTTCTTGATTCATGTCGTCTGTTGCCATCAACAATTCTTCACTGCAAATATCTATGTGATCGTTCGACATTTAGGCTGACCTCGTTATTTCCAAGTGACACTGCTGGATGAAGTCGCTTGGTACCTTATTATATCCGTTTCCGTACAGAAACCATGTGCAAATCAACTTTCTCGTCAAGTCCGCTGGGCGGAAGCAATGAACTTTTAGCTCCATGGAGTCTGCGTCTTGGTAGTAGAAGACAGATCTTGCATACTGGGACTAAATTCTCGTCATAAGAGGTGAAAACATAAGTTCGTGGTAGAATAAATGATTGACTAGTAACACGTATAGTAATCTATCTCAGTATTTTCAAAACTACAGTAAATATGTGGTCCATTTTCGGAAAACTCAGTTGAGGTGCGATTATTATCCCTTCACAACTTACCGATTCTAACCGTGAAAACGTTTGCGAGCATCTTCGAACAAACTCCTTCGTGTTTTTTCGCCAGTGTACAACCTTTAAAATGTAGTTCGCTATTGAAACGTATGTGATAGGGAAGTTAATGACGATTGTGATAAACTTTTATCATATCCCATCTCTTAGGAATCCGGTACTGTGCAAACTGTACACTTAAATTTTTGGTGCTAAGCAGGGGCTTTTCTTTAAGCACGTTACCTGGAAATGAGGGTCGAAGTGTTGAAGGTTAGAATAGCGGTCAAAATACCGGTCTTGAGTAAATCCAAGTAGCTTCGGCTTTGGGGTTCCAAAATAAACCTTTGAGACCACATAGGCAGCAGAATGTTAGCAGAAAAATACTACTGAAGTACCGCATAGGGTGGTGCTTGAGAGATTTACTGGACTGAAGTTTACTAAATCGTAACCTTTCAGAAACTTCAAGTCTTACGCAAAACTAGTGTTAATCATTTGCGATTAGTAGTGTTCAGCTGGGGAGGTTTCCTAACGGTTTAGTTTTATGCCTTTTATTGGGTTCATTAAAATTTTGAAACAAGGAAGTTTGTGTACTTCCCTTTGATTTCTGATTTTACCCTAAATTTATTAGTTCAGGAATCCATGTGACAAGGAATATCACTAATGGATGGAAAGTTTGGATGAAGACTTTGTCTCAACAGTTAATGATGAATCACTGTTCGTTACGGCGTATAGGCCTTCTAACTGACAGCAGAAAGGGAAGGCAAAAATTGGTTTGCTTTTTAAACATTCTTAAAGTTTTGGGCCTAAACATAAGAACACTGCTTCGAAAGGAAAGTTTCGCATCTTCTAGGTCAGGTTTATTTGTTAGACTTAAGGAATTGGGTCCTGAAGTCGATGGTATAACTACTTTCATCCTGAGGGAAAGGCTTATCCAGTTGAAAAATATTGTAATGTAGACGTTCAGTTCACAGGACTAGTCTTATTAAAGGCATAATTGACTGTGCGTCCATCTTTTGTTTGAGCTTTGTTAGTTTAACCCTAAAAGTCTTATATATGGTAGAATCACTTTGTGGAAGGAGACAAGGATATGTGAGTTGATGGTGTGCACAGTCTTCTCTCAGTGTAGAATGTTTCTGCTCCGAAAGTTAACTGGGATCACAAAAACAATGGGGCCATTCGGTACTCAAGCTGTATACCAACCCATGGGGTCTGCTATGGACAGCTTAATGAGATATAACTCTGATACATTTGGCTACCACGATTACGTAGTGATACCAGCAATTACATATTTTACACGCAACCCTCATAAAAGATTACTAGATAAGAATAAGCAACCTGTTTTGTATCGAAGGTGGTTGTATTTGAACGCAACGTGACAAAACTCGGCAACGAGGAGTTTTAAACTCAATTCGGACTTAAGTGAGATGGAGGTTATCGCTCCACGTCATCAATGGTGATCAGATACACCACCCTCCCTCCTTTTGTGATGTTACGCTCTCTTACGTTTAATGGTTGATTGTAAATAATGTTTTCTAGTCTACTCCCTATTTTTGTACAACTTTTCGGAATTTACTTTCTCTACTAGCTCCACGTTACAAGCAATTCAGTCAACTTTGCCTTCTGTTTGAAAGACAAAATATCCACGTAGCATGCCAGACTGAGTTTAAGTAAACTAATGGTACAAATTGTAAGATATATATCAGTTCATATGTAGTTTGGAGATAGGAAAGACAGTAAGCTGGAAAAGAAGAAAGAAAAAAGACTTGGAATAATGTTAAAAATTAATGAGAAAAGCGATATATCGGTAAGCAGACAAGGCGTCTGGATGCTAATGAACTGGGGAAATAAAACTTTATTAAACTGTTATTACTTAAACAAGAAGGAACACACAACGCTACAGTGAGTTCGAGTTCCTTGTAACTGACAGTAGCTGATTAGAATCTACAGGCATAACCTATTACTGTTAGTAGGAGCAGGGGGATTTGTCGATTATTTAGTGATACCTGCATGGATAGTTATGCGGGCATAAAATGTTCATAGACTGTGATTAGTTTCTAAGGTGCATCTATACATTTGGTGGACAATAAAATAGTGCCTGGGGACTTGGTGTGAGTTCCGTGAATAGTTGATAAATCTCTTTAGAGTCTAACAACAGCATGACTAGTTTCTTGAACTTAGTGATTGTGTCACAGATACGAATAGTAATTGGTAACCTGTTCCACAATAGACTGTATCGTATTACAAGGAAATTACAACGCAATCATTTTTTGTGTTTTGCCGTTAATAGTGTACAGGCATTGTTTCCAAGTCTGTAAGCAGTGTCGTGGTTCATAATTGGGCGGTATTTTATGAACTAGAGACCATTTATCAGTTTATAGAGAAGTATTAGGTTGTTTTTCAACCGACGGCGGCATAGAGGTTCTGTAAATGAATTTCTACAGTGGCCGTTCCAATGGGTTCCAATAGGTGCACTCCTGTACGATTCTCCCAGTCCCAGGTCCAAACAAATCAAAAAGGACAAAAATTCTAGGAGAAAGCGTCTTATTTAAATAAAAACATGGAAATACAAAGCATTACCTGGAATTAATGCTCCTTCCAGGATACAATTACTCCGAAGAGTTTCAGAAACAGTGATAGATAAGTGACGCTAAGTCCAGCGGCCACTGCATCAATCCAAATATGGCTGTAGCCATATTAAAGATCAAATTTAAACAACATATATACAGATCAGAAGCAAACACAAAAACTTCAATATAAGTACAAAATATAGAAATAATAACAATATACAATGATAAAATCTCAAATTGGAATCAAATAAAATACCAAAAGTGTCAACAGAAAAAGTCCGTCATGTCATAGCAAAAATATGTAAACATGGAGGGATTTTCCAAAACACAAAACATTCAAAAAGGATTCTACAGTTTCTAGGGAAAGATGTTCCCATCTTTCTGTGTAGTTGAGGTTATTTCTCCATCCTCTCAGTCTCCAGGTGAAGCTTGTCTGGACATTTTCTACTCGTATGTCGTCCATGATATCCAGGTTTGAGAAGATAATTGAGCAGTATTCAAGTGAAGGCCTTATACACATTCTGAAGAGTGTAAGTTGAGCCTCACTTGTTAAGAAGTTCTCATTTATGAACGCAATTAGTCGTCTGGATTTAGAGATAATATTTGAGGCATGTTCTTCGAATTTTAGGCTACTCGACTAACGTGTACCCAGATCATGCGCTGATGTAAGTGTCTGAACCCCACATTGTTGTAAGTGGAGTGGTATATCATGATAATGTTTACTAAAACATATGATGCCACATTTATTATGGTTAAACGGCAGCTGCCATGTTTCACTCCAGGCAGTTAAGTTATCAAGACCACTCTGAATCCTGGATATATTGTCGTCCAGATCTTCAGGCTTATAGCTGTATACCATTTACAGATCATCAGCATATAAGTTTGCTCTTCCAAATACTATAGTATTATATATGTCGTTTATGTACGTCTGAAACAAGAGTGGACGTAATGCACTTCCCTGGATAACTCTACTGGTTATTGGTCTTGGTGATGAAAGACAATCGTCGTATTTAACTATTTGTTGGCGCCCATTTAGGAATGAAGCAAACCACGAATGTAGTGGGTTACTGATTGCGGGTGACTTTAGTATATGAAGAAGTATTTTGTGTGGTATCTTATCTAAAGATTTCTTAAAGTTGAAGAAAATTGCTGATACTAGAAGCCATTTGTCTTGTTTTTGAGTAATATCACTGAATGAATCTAGCAGGCATGTGTCTCA